TTGTCTGTGAATCCTAATTAGCTTTTTTGATGTGGTGCTTGTTGTTATTTTTACTGACAGTGCTCAGAAATCCTTCTCTGTTCAATTGAAATCCCATTTACTTAAGCAAAATGCAAATTGACAGCAGAAAACCGCATATTTAGGGACAAATCTTAGAAAGTTTGTATTCAGAAGCAGAAGAAGTTACAACTTCAGGAACCAGAAGTCTCTTTGCAGAATAAAGTTCCTGCTTTATAACTGGCATGAGAATGTAGAGTGTGTCTGTGGGCTCTCCAGCAGTCCCTGTTTATCAAACTCTTCACCTGATCAGTGTCACAAAAAGGAAACAAACGTTGCAAATAGTAGTAGGTCATGAATAGAACAAATGTATTTCAGCACTGAGTTTACTCTGAATACTTTTATATATTAGCATTTTGTGAACTGTTTTTTTGTTGTTGTTGAATTTTATGTTTGTATAGAAGCAGAAGAAGTTACAACTTCAGGAACCAGAAGTCTCTTTGCAGAATAAAGTTCCTGCTTTATAACTGGCATGAGAATGTAGAGTGTGTCTGTGGGCTCTCCAGCAGTCCCTGTTTATCAAACTCTTCACCTGATCAGTGTCACAAAAAGGAAACAAACGTTGCAAATAGTAGTAGGTCATGAATAGAACAAATGTATTTCAGCACTGAGTTTACTCTGAATACTTTTATATATTAGCATTTTGTGAACTGTTTTTTTGTTGTTGTTGAATTTTATACATTCTCTCTTGTGCAGTTGAATTACTGGTAAAAGTAGGTGAAGTGGTGGACAAGCTGTTTGATCTAGATGAAGAGCTGATGTTAAACTGGGTCAAAAATGGCACTTGTCGATCTGTGGGACCGTCTGGAGATGATTCTCCTGAAGAACTTCCAGATTTTAAGATTGTGCCTTGTATACTTGAAGCAGCCAAACAAGTCCGGTATGTGAAATGTATTTTTTGGGGGGAGACTCCTTATAACCTTGTTAAGGCCTGTGTGTGAGCATCTTCATTTCAGTGGGAGCTGCATAATTTGAGAGGTCACTAGAAAACTAGAATACATTTCCCTGGAGTTACCATTTGACATTAATCACCTAGTTTGTTAGCAAAGAGAGTGGCAGTGATCGATCGTGGTCTTCTGTGTGTCCAAAACATGTGGATTATAAACTCTGATCTTTAATTTGACTTTGTTTTTCATTTGTTCTCTGCAGATCAGATAATCCAGAAGGACTTGATGTTTATATGCATATTTTGCAGCTGCTGACCACGGTCGATGAGGGTGTTCAGGCTATTGGTAAGGCACTGGAATTGCTACGTAAGATAGGACCAAGAATGGTGGTAACTTCTAAATCAGCAGATATTTAATGGCAAGGAAAATAACTCGTGTACCTGGGTTAAATTTGATGGATTAGTGGGTTCTTTTTCTTTTTCAAGTGCAGGCTCCTGATGGAGGAAAAGAGACTTGGAGTTTGCTTTATGACCTTGTTTGCCATGAGCTTTGCCAGCCAGATGACCCACCGATCATTGTGCAGGAACAGAAGACTGTATTGGCCTCTATTTTGTCTGTGCTGTCTGCTATGTTTGCTTCACAGACAGAACAAGAATACACCAAGATGAGGAAAAGTTAGTTGTGCTTTCTTTTTTTTTTAACTTTTTTTTCTTTTTTCCCTAAAAGTTGACTTTATGTGGGCTGAAAGGTGATTAATTTATTACTGTTTAATAGACATCAGTTCAGAACACAGCATTCAGTTACATATTTGAATACAGTAAGACTCTTTACTGGTGACTCTAAAAGTCACAGCTAGCTCGAAGTTGAGTTACTGGATATCTCCAAAGAGTTACAGTAATAGAATTTAGCTTTTGTATAAGATTTTAACTCTTTGGAGATATCCAGTAATAGAATTTAGCTTTTGTATAAGATTTTGCAGTGTGTTTCAAAATTCTAGTGCCTTGAAAGGATGGGAAAAAATGTCAGTGTTAAACTTCCACTTTCTTGTTTCCTTATGTTAGATATGCCTCTGATTGGGAGCTTAATTCGTATCTTACAATACATGGAGGGCTGTGGGAAGAGATCTGTTGATAACTCAAATGAGTCTGAACAGCAAGAGGCTGGAAGGCCTGATATAAATGAGGAAGATTTCCATTTAAAAATTTTGAAGGATATTTGCTGTGAATTACTTTCCAATATGCTTCAAGAACTGACCAAGGTAAGAATAAACAAAATTCTAAAAGGGCTTTCTGCAGGGTAGGTAGGAAAAAATATATTTATTATTAATGTAGGCATTTTTCTGCACAAGTGAAGTTGCATTACTGGGAGTTCATTAGGGAATCAATCAAAAGGTGAGTTAGATGGCAGGGACACAAGTTTTCTGAGCTATATGCCTTCAGAGCCAAGATTCTGTATGATAAATTTGCTTGGTGTATGTGGCTATTTCTTTTTAATGAAAACCAGTTAATTAAGAAAAGGAGAGAGTATCGATATATAAAGTCACCTTCTCAGTTGCATTTTTTTATTGTGGGAGCATTCAGATTAAGAAAGGTGTATGAACTTTCACACCTTTTTTATTAGCTATGTCTGGCATTTGGAGAACTGTAAGTTTTGGTTGTTTTACCCATTGTTGAGAAAGAAGCATACGCTGTATACACTGTGTGCACATTTTTGAGTTTGTTCTTTCAACAGCTGTTCATGACATGCTACTTGTATTTCTCATTTGTTTTCCAGGAGAATACTTTAGAAGGACTACATCAGGGACATTTAAATGAACAGACATGTTCCTGTGCATTTCAGAACTTATTACCTCTGTATTTTGCATCGGTGAGTGTATGACAAGGTCTCTAACACAGCTCAAAAAATACTACTCAGGTAGCAAGGCCTTTCTCAGCCACATGTAGAAGTAGGGCAGACTTGCTCAGATGCAGGTAATATTCCACTCCAGACAGTCTTGCCCTCTCTGTCTCTTCTGGCTTACTTCACCCAAGGCTTTGCCTAGATCATCAGCTGATGTATGTGTCAAACTGTGCTGAAATGTCTGCAAATTTATGCTATCTGAAAATCTATCCTGTACATTTTAATAAAATAATTATTCTAAATATTTTTCATAGGCAACTTTGCTTTGGGTACTGTTCAACAATAAGAGTTTGAGGAAGGCAATAATGTTTCAAAATTTATATCAACTGAAATTGTGGGGATTAGGAGGAAGGTTATCTACTGTGGAGCATTTTCCATTTTTCTTTCCTGTGGCTGCTGTTGGTGGGGAGGTGCAGGAGTAGAAAGACCACCTATACCAAGTGCAAGAATTTTGTGTTCCATGCAAGTATGGGTTTTCTAATTATTTTTGTTTCTCTCTGTATGTGTGTGTTTGCAATTTATTTCCAGGTGGAGACTTTCCTAGAAGTTCTGCGTGAAGCTGATCAGACACTTGCTGACACTCTAGAAAAACGTTTCCCAAGCTTGAAGGTTCATTCCTAAGAATATGACTAAAATACTTTCTGTCTGTGGAATGAAGATTTTTTACTATTTCATAACAATATTTCAGACACCAAGTTTTCAGTAAATACAGGAGAATGAGGCAACCTCCTTACCAACAGGTGGCTTTTAAGAAACATTCAAAGTAGCCTTGATTAACCCAGGGTTAATCAGGTCTGCATGTGAACAAAATGACTGTAAATTCATTTCTTCATCTTCCATCATATTTGCTTTAGTGATGAGACTGTGGATTTCTGATTGATCTTCTGCAGCACAGTGTTCTTTGAATAACTCTTGATTCTGTGCTTTTCAGATGAAGTTGAAACAGCAAAATTAATGAAATGTACTGAGTAGTTGTTTAATGTGATGCTGGTTTCTTCCAAGTTGCTTTTGGCAGAAGTAGGATTGATAAATAGGAAATCCCAGATGTTGTCTGCTGAGGACCTTCAAGTACCTGATAAAAACAGAATTAAATTACACAGAATTGCTCGGGGGGTTTTTTTGTTTTTTTGGTTTTGGTTTGTTTTGGTTTTTTTCCTCTTTTAGATTTTATCAGTACCTTGAGCAGGTATCATAGCAAACGTTTCATCCTGCTTCTTTAAAATCATCACTCTTCTTACATTGAAGGCTCTTCTACACTGCAGCTCTGAGTTGTGGCATCTAGGTCCTGTGCAGTTTAAAGGACTTGAGAAGATGGTTACTGGTTGTCTCTGCTGCAGCTTTCAACTATTGCAGCCAGTTACCCAGAATTAGAGTTGCAGGGCAGCTTTGGGTTTAATCCATGACATACTTGCCAACTTTCTGCTTTTTCAAATCAGTCTATACTTCACTTTAGGAGTGTAACAGTTCTTTCCTTATTCATATGTCTTATGATTTATCTGTGAATTACATTAAAATGCCATATTAGCTTCAAGTTTTCAGTGGACCTTAAGGTCACTTGCAGTAAATTCAGTCTACAATATTCTAAAAATCCCACTTTCAGTTTTAACTGCATTACATTTTTAGATCTGTTGCCTTCATGCAGTTCAGTGTGTCTGAAAAGGCAGTATAGCAACACATCAGCCTCAGTCCTATAAATGAGAGTGGAAAACAGTTAATCTTTGTTAGGTTTGGGATGTAGGAGGAAATGGAAACCAGTGCATAGAGAATAATTTAGTACCATATACACACATTGCCTGGCTCTCCAGGTCTTACGGATTTTAAGTATTGTGCTGGGTCATGTTTTGTTTGCCCTGAGTTACCTGTACATGTGGTAAAATACAGTTTGTGTATATGTATATAGCCTTTTCATCCAAACTTCCAGTTTTCAAAAAGAGTGCAATTAAGTCGTTCCCTTGAGCTGCCAGCAGCATCTTAGTTGTTGGCACGGGATTCAGAATCACAAAGGTCTGACTTGTGTCACTAAAATGAATGGCCATGGTTTCTATCAGTTTTTGTATGCTAATGTTTATTGGAGAAAACTGGTAACTGTGAATAGGGTGACAGCATTTTTCATACTACTTTGACAGTTTTTGGCTATTTTCTTAAACCTACAGATTTGTAATAAAGTTTCTTTTTTATAAAAAAAAACCCTGTATGTTTTTATTTAAGTGTCCAAATTTCTTTTTTGAGCCACTGGAAATTTCTGTTACTCTCAAGTGTGTAATTTGTAAGAGGAAGATTGAACCTCTTGGTACTGTCAGTGTCCTGTACAATAGGTTGCCCTTCATGGGATTTTCATTTTAACTCTTTTACTTTCTTGGCTTAATTGTTTTTGTGGTTTGGAAGTTAATGTCTTTCTCATCCAGTTGTTAACATTTTTCTCAGCTTAGTTTGTCCCTAGGTGTACCATAAATAAGTTTATGATAGCCCACCGTAGTTAAGACTTATTTCTGGCTTGTGTCCTGAAATTTGTTGTAATTGTTGAAGTTTTGCAATAGTTGTTAAATGTAATGTAAAAAAAACCTGAGGTAATATCTGTTGTTTTATTTTGTTCCTTCTTTTCAATGCACAAGTGTCCAGTATTGACTGGATTAATTGTTAAATGTGGTATCACTAATTACAAAGAGTAGGTGAAATACATAATTTTTGAGAAATAATTGCCTGAGTGGGATGATACCTAATGTCTGTTCTGTGATAGAAAAAACTGGGTAAGTGGGAAACCAGCTGGGTCACATCCTCCCACTTTTCTGCAATAGAAGAAGCTGTAGAAACAGGTCCATCGGCCTTTCTTCATAATGATAATTCAAGTATGCTGGGAATTTTATCCCTGGTAAACCTGGTGAAATGGAGACTGAATTACCCCGTTGGCACCTGGAACAGCTGCTCCTGCGCAGCCTGTGCTGCCTGGGTGGGGCAGCGCTGCCTTCAGGAGTAAGAGGCTGGTGCCCGGTGGGAATGCAGATGTGGGAGAAACTATTTGTGATAGTGGGTGAATGTGTTTGGAAATGGTGTGCGTGTATTGCATTGTCTCGCCAGCAGGGATCTCCCTTCGCCTGTGCTTCATGGACATCATGTCTGGTTTTAGGTGGTGGTGTTTGGTTGGTTTTTGGTTTTTTTTGTGGGGTTGGGGATGAGGACAGGTTGTTTTTTTTAATTTTTTTTTGTTTGTTTGTTCCCTTGCCTAACCAAGCTTCAACACTTCTGGCAAGCCAGGTCTCTGGGCTAGTTGATTCAGAATGGGTATCTATCTGTACAAGCAGGCAAGCAGCTTTCTTCCAGACCAAAGACCTGATTATCTCCACAACATCCTCCTTTGGGGAAAAAAGAGAAGTACCTGTCACTGTTTTGTGCAGAGCTCTGAGCAAAAAGTGGATATTTGAAGCACGGAACAAAAGTGACAAGAACACTGTCCTGCTTCGACAGAGCTGGATGTGAATTGTGGCATGAGCACACCTAGAAAATAGAGATAGAAGTCAGCCTACAAGGCCTTAAATTTGACTTGATAGATCCATATAATAATTTGTTTCAAAGGTAAGAGTTTTAACATTATTTTAACTAACGTTTTATGTACATTTGGCATCTTTATCCCACATAGTACCTTTTTCCTAGTGGGGCAAAGAACCATAACCAAAGAAATTTGGTATCTGGAGAAAAATCAATACTACTAGGAGGTTTCATCTGCTCTGTTGGTATCCTAATGCTTGCCCAGTATTTCTGTCACAGACCTGTCACAGACTAAACCATATAGCCTAATATGCTGAGAAGTTCTTATCTGTGCTTCTTCATATTCAGGTTACTCTGCTTTCTTAATTTTCTGTCACTGCATGTTTAGCTTCTATTTTCCTATAACTGCTATGGTAATTCTTTTGTCTCTAAGATTATGTGGCTTTACTATTATAACTGTGTTTGGCTGTAGCTAAGCAAAAAAAATTTAAAAATTACAGTATTTCTTTTTAATTCAACCATCTTCATAGTTTAGGATAGTGGTATGATAGTGGTATAAATATGTTACTGTGGTTTTGATTGTTTGTTTTGAAAATCTGTGCTCTTTCCCACTAGCCTTGGATTACTTTGTCTGTTACTGAGAGTTACAAAAGCAGTAGTATCTGTTATCTTTTTCACTTCAGAACTTGCTTTTGTTTCTAGAGCAGAATGTCTTGGTCACAGCAGTTCCTTAGCATATCCTTTCTTTTCCCTCAGAATTTAACTTTGTCCTTTTGTTCCTTTTTAATGCTTTCTGTTTACTTCTTTTTGTTCCCTAGATGATGAAATAAATGTGCTGTGCCAAACTCAATCAGAAAGGAAGAACCTTCTACCAGGCTACACCTGGGGCTAGGACCAGTCTCCTGTAACATTATACAATTTCTCAGAAATCCCTCATGTGAAGGCAAACAGAAGCAGTGAGCAGCTGTGTGTTTGCTCCCCAGCCCCAACACCCACCCTGCAGTTCCTGTGCCCCTCAGCCGCAACCGACAGGGCGTGTGCTAAATGAACCTGACATCACAAGGCTGGTAAAATAACAAGGTTCTTTCCAGCAGCTATCGACAGAAGTTTTGCAATGGGAAATAATGCTCCCATTCCTTCCTTTATTTGCCTCCCTGATTCAGTTACCTCTTCTTTAAAAAAAACAATGGTTCATAATGCAAGGAGCTGACATCCAAGACTGGTAGGAGAAAGGTTTGCTTCTGCCTTGTTGCTTCTGAAGAAAATTAACAAACCCAGGGAAAAAAACCCCACTGTCCCCTTCCCTTTACCCCTCCTCTTGTCTTCCTTGTCTTTCTTTCTGGGAGTTCTTTTTGGGAGTCAGCTGCAAAAGGCAGCAGTGGTAGGAGTGAAGGCAGCTGTGAAGAGGAGTAAGGTAGTAATACTACAGAAAGAAGACAGATGAGGAAGGGATACTGAAGGAGGAAAGAGAACAGGAAAAATGGGCAAATTATGACAAAAGGCATAAATAATGTGTGATGTTGAGGGAGAAAAGTATTAAGTAACAACGTTAGCATTCTAGATTTGTCTAGGTGGAATAGTTTATGTGTGGTTGCCTATCAAAAAGGTATAGTGTTGATTATTTTCTGTTTTCAAAGCTGAATCTCCTTAGTGGTTATTCCTGCTCTCACAAAAATGAGACAAGTTTAAGGCAAAGATTCTTGAGGAGAACAAAATCCTGCTCAGTCTATAATTGCAGTCAGTATAAGTACAAAAATCTACAATCTTGAATTTAACCTCAGCATTTCTATGTGAAAACATATTTACCCAAAATTAAAACTTATGTCTGATTAATATATCCTGATAGTACTGGGATTAAAATCTAAGCCTCAATGTAACACTCCTGCTTCCATGATGGTTTCTTCATACATGTGGAGGAGGCTTGATGACCAACTGCATGTTTGTGCCTATAATAACTAAATCTCATGTTGTTAACACTTCTCCAGTTTGTGTTCCTTCATCCAATTTCCAAGGAAATTTTAGAAAAGCAAATGCCCCTTAATATTCTGTGTTTTAATGGTCGCAGTTATTTATTCTGTGCTTTACGTTACTCAAACTCCATTTTAATTTTGCAATGAGCTTGTATCAATATTATTTTT